TTGACAAAGCAAAAATTACTATTCAAACCCAGAGTTCAGACAATCGCACATTAAGCTGTAATACCGCGGGGAGTTCCGGCTGGTTCTTGAGCAGTTGATGTGTTAAATTAAACTGCAGCTCAGTCATGAGTTATTACGCGGTACGAACCGCTCCAGCTGGCGCGAGTAAAGCCCAGCGGCCCTGCCGTAATCTCCGGGAAAACCCGGCGGCGGAGTGAAACCCAGCGCCCCGCCGCAGCCGCGACCTCGGCGTGACGTCCGCGGGAAGTTTACCAAGTTTATTAACGGCGCATCTATCCCCGGAAACGCCGGGGGAGTACTGGGTATTAACTTCTCCACTGATCCCTCACTGCAGTGACGTACAGCAGAGGGAAAAACCAATAATGGCCGCAGGCAGTCAAGTAGAAACCGCCTGGAGGAGAACGGCACTGAAAATGGGATGAACGGACTTGATACCGGCCGTTTCACCGGCGGTTATCACAAAATGACTGCACAAATGGCGTCGACAAATTTCGCATAACTGGCAAGCGGAAATGGCGAAAGCTTCCATTTCATCGGTTAAATCTCGTGCTTAATGCGTGGTCCTCTGGCCGATGGTAAAGCTGAGCCCCTTTTTCTGTATGGATTTCCGATACAGATGAAGCACGCGCAAGAGGGCGATGAAGTGTATCAACGTTTAGAAAAGATGCCATTTTTCCATTACATAAATTCCTGGAAAACATGGAGTATATAGAATTGACAGTGTATTACACAAATTAAAACTTGCATGTGAAATATTCCACATTTCAGTAATCACTGGTGCTGCGTCAGTGATGATTTTTTAAAAACTGATGATTTCCATCTTGTACTTATCATGAAAGACTGTTTGGTATCAAGCAGTCACTCACGATGAAAGGCAGTAAAAATGGCTTATCTTTACCTTGGTACAGTACTACAGATAGAAATGATGCCATTTTTATTGCCTAAGTTATCTGAGCGTTGCGAGCTTATCGACCATGACAGAAAGAATGTCTGCCTCTGCATACATCATCTGTAGGGATATGAGGAGTAGAATGTTCGGTTCCTTGGTCCACAAAAGATACCATGCAACAGCCTCACAATAACTAGCATATATGTTAGGAAAAGCCCACCACCATCTTTCAGGTTGTTCAACAATAATAGAGCCTCAAACATACATATTTGGGATTTTTAAAAGATGCACTCAATAACTGCCGTTTCAGCACCATGGAAAGGTCTACATCGTGTATTTTGTACTGAGAAAAGTTATACTCCATTAGATACCTAGTCAATCTAATCAACATCATCTTACTTATATGCATAGAGAGTGGTCTGAAGACGTTCTTGTGGTAAAATGATGCTTCAAACAACCACAGTTGATTGGTGACCCGCTTTACCTGTATAGGACAATAGATTGACAAATGTTTTTTTTAGGGCAGTGTAATGATACAAACTTAAGACTGGTGTCCTTTTCATATTTAGAAAAATGCATAATATTTGGTCTACTATGAAGGTTCTATGCATTCTCCCCATGCTCAAAACAAGAAGCCATACTTTCAGCACCAAGGAGAGAGCCCAGTCACAATGGTGCAGAGTGACACTAGAGTGGCGGATCGATATTTGGTGTCACAATGATTTGTATTCTCTTCTCTGAATGTGGCACAAAGTGCTATTCTATATGCTGCTCTTGTCCTTGCCAAGTTCAGTTTTTTTCTGTAATAATATGGCCCAAATCTGTTGTAGGTCACGGGAAGCGTTTCTACCAACGGAAGGCAGTAAAGGTGTGATGTCATACCTTTGTGGCCATCATGTAATTGACTCAAGTTGTTTTCCCTCATGCCTTTACTGTCACGATAAGCATTACACTTAAACAAATATCTGGTGCAGATATTGATCTGTTAAAGCTTAAGCTCAAGCAGAGCAATTTTCACAAAGCTGTCTCTTAAAGGGGTTTCTGCGCTTATAGGCGAATAATGTTACAATTTAAGATTATAACGCTGTTTTATATGATAAGGTTATGCGTCTTCCCTGCCATCCCAGCACTTTTATAGGCCCATTGAGGCAGAACGTAACACCTGGGGGTCATTCTAATATCGATTTGGTAGATTTTTATTCCGATTGTTCCTGTAGCGATCAAGGTCGAATGCATTTTGAGTCAACCTATTACCTACATGGAAATTGCAGTAGGGCCTTAGCTTACTCTGAGAAGGGCCCATGTGATCCTTGTTTTGCTTCTGGTGTAATTACACCATCTATAATGCTTACCTATTGATCGATACTAATGTTATATATGCATATTACTACGTTCTTAGTAAATGAAACTTAGCATTTTAAAGGCATCCAAAGCAATTTCAGTGCAGTTAGACTGGATTTTCAAAGACAATTTTACGGTCATTCTGTAGTAAGTTCAAAGTTTTGGGGCTCTACTGTCATCGGAGGATGTTTAGCACTATACCCTGGACCGTCAATTTACGTTACCATCCGAAAACAAAACTCATAACAAGCCGTGTGGAGCGGGGACTCGAACCCGTACCCTTTGGATCAACGGAATTTGGAGGCAAAAACAAAATGTTGCCATCCATAAATTTCTTCTGTGTCTCAGCTAGCATGCAGGCCTGTGTGGGTGGCGGATGACATATAACAGGACTTGACACGTACACCCGGCAAATCTAATTCCAAAACTTGATTAAAACCGGAGAATACACTTCCTTCAACCGCACTTCATGAAAACGTGTCATAATTTACAACAGTTCTTGGAAAGAATCAATTTCGTGATGGCTCATTTCTTGACTTGTGGTGCTAAAACGCGTAGTTTTAACTGTACCTCGTTTTTCTAGCGAGGAAGGTCCTGAAAGAGAACATTTCTTTCAGCCCTATAACTTAAGGCAAAAATTATTGGCCCTGTGCGCCTGCTGTGCAGAGCTATTCCCTTATCCACACGCCCAGCCGGTGTAGTATTGAATGTTCGTAGATAGAAGAAAAGCGTGAATTATTTTGTTTCTGTTATGCTTTGAATAACCGAAACGGTTCACGACCCAATGATTTAATCAGAAAATAGCGTTTTGGTGCACACAGCATGGGCTGACGTCCAAAAGAATAAAGGCCTTCTTCAGTTTCAAATTTTGACTGAAGCTGCACGCATGGAATACAAATTACCAACAGCCCATTACTGAAGACATCAGTAATCATCCATAGTGGCGAACCCGCGCCGTAAGTTATACTGGTAATTAGGGTCAGTTATGGCCAAGGTTTCAGCATGGTTTATGGGGACCGTTCTGTGCTACCACATTAACACAAACACAAGGTCTTCGTGCGCTCCGAATCTGTGTTAGCTACACCTTCTTCTTGGATACGTTTTATCCCCAATATGATACAAATGATACTCTTTGATAGGTAAAGGCAAGTGACAAATTACGACACATATTAACACTAATATACTGGATTTTCATATTATATAAAAACAGTAACATTCTTCTTTGCAGGCAAACTCACAAACACGTATTAATAACACGCACAGGAAACAGACTTTCTACCGCCTAATCAAAAGACTATCAACCTCCCCGCTGTGGGTAAGATCATACGTATTAGACACCATTTAATTGTAATGATTAGCCGGGCTACACCGCCATCCTCCCTTACAAAGGAAGCAGCTACAATAGACTACTCGTAGATAGATAGCCACGAGCGCTATCAGAAGACTGCAGCAGACAGTCTCTAGTAAAGATGAATTGTCCTATATTTTTACCTTCTCTTTTCTTGAAGATTTAGATCCTGTTTCAATGCATAGAACTGTAAGTTAGCATTGATCAGAGTAAATCAATAAGTCTGTAGGCTCCTTGTGCAATTCATATTCTTACTTTCTGTAACATTATATAGACCATCTTGTGCATCTACTATCAATTTTAAACCCTATCTAATATTGTATATACATATAGATGTTTCATAGTATAATCATATTGTGATGATGGTGTATTGCAACGTATTGTAATCTTTATAGGTAATCCAAGCTATATATAAGGACTGCTTATGGAGATTGCCTCCGGAAGTTTCGGGTGATATATATCCATCACTCTTCCTCTGTGTCACCATTGAGTGTTGTTTACCTGGATGTCGAACATTCATCAATGTTTTTGCGACCATTGGACGAATAACCTGCTGAATGTGACTTGGACTAAACCCTATGGATTTTATTTGACCAAACAAATGCAGGAATTAGATATTAGACATATTTGGCATAGTAAAGGCACAGCTTGGCTTCTCATGGCATCAACTATTCTCACTTTCAGTTTTGTTCATCTGCCAGAAACGACAATTCCATCAGTCTTGTGGAGCTCTAAGTCCCGTCCGGGAAGGGGGGCATATTTACGAAGAAAACTGATGAATCTCTACGACAGAACCACACAGACACGTTCTTAGTGCAGACCCAGAATTCTACCAACTCATGACATTATCGATCCAGACCAGAAGGAGCCGAATATGATCCAACGAATGTTTCTTTCCGCATCAATCCCGTCATTTTGGGATCCTGGGTTACTTCTGTGCCTCTAGACAGTCACTTAATAACATCACACAATGGCGGAAATTCCTGGCTACGCTATGATTTATATACTGCCGACTATCAGAAGCCTAAAATCACCACGTATGGTGTGATATATTAAATAGCTCCTCTGTAAGATACCAATCTTTGCTGAGCGAAGGTTGGCGTAAAACTTGTCATCAACCTACTTCGCTCCCAAATGAAACAATTAGGTAACAGTCACTATGCTGCGCTTATGCGATGAAAAATGTATTGATTCATAACTTTTAAACGGTAGTCTTTATGAGTACGTTAGAGCATGACGACTAGTGTTCTCTAAGTGTATCCTTTGCATACTACTGTACCTACATCTTTTAGCTCTAAAGTTTGTGTCGTATCCCAAGCCAACTAACTTGAATATCGTCATTGTCTTTTGCTGCAAGACTGACTTTTTCTAGACAAAGGTATTCATTGTTTGCTTATTCAGTTTCAGAGCAAACCACCAGGCAGATGAGCCCTGTCAAGTGAACAGTAGCGCTGCGAACGCGAACGTCTACATTGCCATGGCGTGACCAGAAGCATGCGATCGTCTGGGCGACCGAGCCATTGGTGGAAATGATCACATGACAATCACGTGACAAAGGTATGTTCTCTCGACATGTTCTGTGATTGGATGTTTTCAGATGTTACAAATCAGGACATTTGCATTCACCGCCGCCATATTGGTGGAGTGGATAGATCCAAGATGGTGGCTTGTCAGATGTCACTGACAAAAGGTGCTACCCGAAACGTCTGACCGATCAGGCCAGTTGCTTGACAAAATGCTTTTTTGGCATATTTTGTTACCTGGATGTCTAACCTTCATCGTCGTAATAGATAATGGTTCCATGAAATCAATCATTCATATTTTGATCGACAGAAGTTTTGAAATATCAAGTAGATTTCAAGCAGCCCTCCCTGTTGTTTATTCAGGCCCGTGTCTGAAGTACAGCTAGGCACCAGGATGAGTGTACGCGGGGCAGTGGGCGTGGCCCTGCTGGTCATGACGTTGTTCTGCCTCTGCATGCTGCTGCTCCTGGGACACCTGGACCTGTCCCGGCCCCGGGTCGCCATGCTGAACCACGCACTGGCGGGCGTACCTCACAGCCAGCGGGGAACACAGAGAACTTTCCCGGTACAGCAGACCGTATCACGGGAAACAGTCTTACCAGACACGGCATCACCCAGACGGACGCTGTCCCCCAATGAGACCATGGCAAGTTTCGGGATGGAGACTATACCTCGGTCACTAGAGTATGTGGAAGAGCCTATCAACAAGGAGGACCGGTTGTCAGCGCTAAGACAGAGGTGGGAGTACTATCCTGGTAATGATTACGGTGAGGAAGGGGGACAGTTCAGCAACCAGTCGGGGCAAAGTGGCAGCCCGGCCCGTAGGCTCGCTGTGGTGGTGTTCGCTCAGATGCGTACGGGGTCCTCCTTCACGGGGCAGCTCTTCAACCAGCACCCGTCCTTCTTCTACATGTTCGAGCCGCTGTGGCACCTCCACCACCCGCAGAACGTCGCCTACAGACCGATCCCGGTGGTGAACGGCCGGGCAACAGTCCGCCTCAGCGCTGTCGTCCACCGGCCCCCAGAGGCTACGTTCGCCAAGGTGCTCGGGGGAGTCCTGCGCTGCGACTTCGGCGAGCTGACCAAATTCATCGGAAGAAAGGGACTTTTCAGCGTGGCGTCTGACAAAGCTTTGATACGATTCTGTGACGAAGTCTTGCACTGGCCGCCTCGCCGGTGCGCTTTCGCGCTGAGGCCTCAAACCTTACCCAAGCTGGTGAAATACTGCAAAAGGACACCCTACATGGCAGTGAAGACGATACGGATTCAGAATATCAATTCGCTAGAACACTTGCTGAGCGATCCTACACTTGACTTAAAGATAATCCACCTGGTCAGGGACCCACGAGCGGCCATTACGTCCAGACTATCTTTAACAGACGCGCGCCATAAAGCGAAGCTTCCTTTCGCTCCTAATCTTCTCAATGAGAAGGACATCAACAAACTTTGTGGCTGGATCACTAGAAGTACGGTGACAACGGTAAGTGGTAGCTGTTCAAACAGGGGCACTTGAAAGATTTCCGCTCAAAGGCAAACTTTTATCATCTACATTAATAGGGTGATTTGGGTATTAGGTTTCTTTATAGGCAACTGAAGAAAAATGCTTTAGTCATTCTATACTACCTTGCTCAATATTGACTTGTGCAATAATACCAGCTATCCAGTACAGATTGCTAGATATGAAATCCAGTGCAGATTGCTAGATATGAAATAGTTTAGACAACCAACAATGATTTCTACAGAGGAAGACTAGAGTTACTGGTCGAAATACATAGGTGGGAACATATTTCCCATTTGTATTGAAACAAACCTTTGAACATGTAACTACGTATACCAACATAGCTAGACGAACTTTGATTGTAAGAATGATTTTGCCTTTTTTGACTGATGAAGTCGTATTTTGTCTCCCATTCAGGGCGCCCCCTCCCCATGGCGAGGGCGGTACATCCTGGTTCGATACGAGGACCTGGCAGAGCACCCCGAACTGATGACGAAAAGGCTGTACGAGTTTCTGGGCGTGCCCCTGGACGACACGGTTCTCCACTGGGTGCGAGAGAACACAAAAGGAGACGGCAAACCTCACGACCACTTCAGCACCAAGCACCACGACGCCAACGCCACAGCCAAGATCTGGAGGTACCGTCTGAGTTTCCCCGCTGTCCTTAAAGTACAGGAGATGTGCCGAGACGCCATGAAGATGGTGGGATACAAAGAAGTGGAGTCGCAGGAGACTTTAAGGGACTTGCAAACGTCTTTAGTGGACACAATCCCCGATAACGTTATTGCGATTCGTCCATAACGCTCAAGTCACATTGCCAAACCAATGCCCCACCGGGTAGTATACGAGTTGTGTTTTTCAGCTTTTGGATAGGGCCGTAGAACTTCCATCGATTGCCATTCAAAAAGTATTTCTCAAATGAAATTACATGAATTTTCCAGGCCCATGATCAAAAGTCCGCACATAAATGCTGTAGGAACATTAAATCGCTGTCTGTAGGTTTGTATCGTAATATGTTAGTGTACGTTATATGAACACACTGGATACATAATTTACCATATAAGCGACAGCCTTCGCTACGTTAGGCCCAATCTTTATACGTATACAGGACGAAGACCGTTGAGAAACCAATGAACGAACGACCAACAAATTGGCTATTAAGAGATCACTGGAAGACCTTGTACATCACTTGTACATCACTTGTTCATCGGAAGACCGTTGATAGATAAATATTTCAAATTCACGGCCACTCAAGCGTACTGTGGTGACGTTTCGCTGACATCCAAGGAGATATTAGTCATTTTGTTTGGAGGAACAGAGAGATAGCTTGCTGGCAGCACGTTCCGAAGTCATCAGCATCACTGTATATGCAATAGGGTCAAAGCTACATAAATCTATCTACAAGCCAGCACCATGCCATATCCCAAACGTGCCATGATGTAAAACGTAAAAGACTGAATATCCAGTCATCCATTTGTGTCATACTTGTGTTACAAAATGTAACGCGTCGTTCACTATCAATGGACGGACTCCTTCTTTGATATAAACCCATGTACATAATGTAAAAGTTACTATATGAATCTTTGAACTATTATGACAACCTTTATAAGGTACAAAAGAAACCTATAACTACTGTAAAACGGATTCAATGATTGATAGTTATGTGGTATATTTTGAGGAGGGGGTGGTGAGATATGTAAGGATATGTCATATCTTCTTCCATGCACTGTCCAGAACAGTAATGCTTGCTGCTCTCTAGTCATGACCACTGCCTATCTCCCCTGCACATACGTTATAGCTATTGATTCTTACATTTATGCAAAGACGGACTTCGATAATGGTCAGTCTCAAGCTGACAAAGGCTATGCCAAACAGACAATACTGAATATGTCTTTTTGACAGTGTTTGGATATTGTGGATACATGATTTCTGTGTAATAATAAAGCTTTCATGATCACGGTACATGATGGCTGTTGGGTATTTTTAGGATTGCCTTCTTACAGTTAACAACAGAAGTATACTAGGTATTTCTTTTTCGAAGGAAATATAAACCAAGCAGTCCGATGTTTTGATATGTAAGAGTGAGAGTCTAGCAAGAAACCGTATTACTAATAAAATAGCATGGTAAAACATATCAAAGCAATCAAACAATAAGGAAAACGTAGATGAGTTAGAATTACCATATTGATTCACAATGGACATAAGATACGATACGTAAACGGGACGCAACTGGAAATAATGCAGAATTGTGGCAATGAATACCAGAGGACCATATTGCTTAAAGATATATAAAAACCAAATCTCTTTCATTGAACTTTCAGAAGGCATTACAAGTTTCGGCTATCCAATTATGAAGAGGGCATACAGTAACATCGGCTACTATATGACTGTCCTTATTAGTCCCTACAATTCTGGGTTCAAGGTCAGGAAAGCTCATATTCTCCCAAGTACTTAGCGCCTGCCTCGGCAACATTCACAGTTGCAACAATATAGATCTTCTGACGGGATGCCTCTCCTGGGGCGCCGCTGTTGGGATAAATCAATGCGGAGTGTACATTAGGAATCAGCGACATTGGCACCGGCTCACTTTCTCACGTTCAAGCTCTCAAAAATGCAGCAGGTATCTGACTACATTTCAAAACAGTCATACTTGATACCGTCGCAGAGCAGATATGGATCAAAGATATTCACTTTACATTATTACAATTACAGAAAAGGTTATACGATCTGGAAGATGTTCTTTCATCGATAATCCGCAAGATATAGATATAATCTACATGTATGTATGTAGTACCTAATACTATTCAGGGTATTAGCTAAACAAGAAACATTATGGTATGGTAATCCTTCTATGCCAAGTTCTGCAAGTTAGCAAATAGATGAACGCTGTCGTTGCTTAATAAAGCTTGTCTGGCTGTTGCTTTGCGACTTCATCAAATGTTGAAACGAACCACAAAATTCTATAAGCACGAACTAATTTACGGGCATGGAGGGCATTCCAAATTGCTACCGCCCTATCAAAAGTAACGGTCTTCCCTTCCTTCTAACCTTTGTGTGTCGTGACTACTAAACTGCTCTACGAAGTCTAATTACAGGAAGTCAGCGGATTTTCTTACCATTTGGTTATCATGAACTGGAATCGTGATCGATCTACCAAGTCGTGCGTGCAGGAGAAGTCGAGTACAACAGCAGCAGCGCTGATTGTAGATTGTAGAGTCGATCGCGAGATAACAAACAGAATCTAGATGCGCTTCCTTCAAAGTTTGATTGGATCAAGGAGGTTTAATTTGATTGGATGTTTGCGCTGCTGTTTTAGCCCGTCATGTTCTCCAACGAGCTTGAAGGATTGATACTTTCCTGTTATTAGAACTACAATATGCATCTATGTATAGTCTATAAAGAAGGCCTACCATTACATGGAAATCCCTGAAATTTGCACTAGGATGTGTCAGCGGACGTGGCCTGCTCCTACCGGCCCAATCAGTCCGCAGAACCCAGATGGTACTTTAGATACCGCGCTGTGAGTGGGGCTAAGAAGGATGAAGAGATAAGAAAGTCTACGTGTCTTAAAGTGTCTGGGCTTCGATCTGCAGGAAGCTAGCCGACCCATCACCAATGCAGATGAGCTGAAGGGACATGTGTGGTGATTTAGATAAGAGCTGGTCCATTTACTGGAAGGAGTTTTACCTCCAGGAAGAAGTGGGCGGACAAGAAGATTTGGGGATTGATTTCTTGGTGTCGCGTATTTCTAAAGCCCCTGTCACACATTCACGATCTTCGCCCGACTTTGTTCCGGAACACCAGCCGACTAGGTTTGGCCGACGTTCGGACCAGATTTAGGCCAGGCCTACCTCAAAGATTTCTTCATCACCCCCTTCTGAGTGACTGAGAAGGGGGAGTCACTGAAATCTCATGAGCTTTGATGACCTTTGATCCCTGTAATGACTTTGTTTCATTAAGATCAGAAATGAAGTTATCTACAAAGTACATGATGTCATCAGCTATCAGGGCCCGCCAAATTTCATTGAACCGGGACGGGGGTTGTTACCAACTACCAATCACCTTTGATCACACTTTCAGAAAACCACGTTATCTGAGCAATCGGGTCTTCAGTTATCATAGAGAAGACCAGAGAAATTCGTGAGCAATTCGTATGTAAATAGATATTCTTTCATGATAGTTTAGATTCTGCTCGTACTGTCTGACACAAAAATTCCTTACACGTCAAAAAGGTCTTACCGCTAACCGGTCCCTCGGCGGAAGCATTAAGAATGCTTTTACCGGATTTTTTGTCATCCCATGCACAAATAGTATTTCATTATGACGATAAAAGCACAGCCAAGTGCCTCTCCAAACACCTATAAAGCGTTTTCTGACCGGGGAAGCTAAATAATGTATGGTACGATCTTTGTATGCAGCCGCGAACTTACTATAGGTACAATTTGTGTTTTCAATGAGCGCCCTGGGTGTTCTCTTCTTACACGACGCACACTCTGCACAACTTGTTACAAGAGTTGGGTGAAAGTTAGCCCGCTTCATTCACATATAGTTGTGTATGTACATGTGTGTGTGTTTGCGAAGCGAAAGTTTGAACCACTTGACAAAGGGATTGGAAGTGAGTGGGAGAGATTGGGGTCCAGTTGATTGACATATCTCCTGAGTTCGAGATGGTTTGGGCGTAGCTACTAGTGTTTTATAGACAGTTTATTATAGAATTCGCCTATCTGAATTAACCTACGATATTTTTATGTACATACACGTAAACCGACACCTTACCGCCACTACTATCATACCATTTCCTAAGCATGCCATGTTCCGTTTCACCCAAATGTCCACACATACATTGAGGGATCACCTAACCTTGCTTTTTTTCTTCTCTTCAATACAACTGCGCCACCGAGCGGTTCCATTTGGCGCTGCATGATAAGAAACTAAGAGCCATTGAAGGTAGCAGAACACAGTTTTCGCCCTATGGGGATTTCTATAGTTAAGGACCCAAGATGACTCACTTCGACGCGGTAAAATTATAGCAGGGTGCACTTCACAAATACGAAAATCGAATATGTTTGAGAAGAAGGTACAAACTACAAAATATCTAGAAACCAAAATCCTGTCGGCGTATCTGCTCGTAACGTACACTTTGAAATCACCCCCTACGGACGTGACCTGAACTGCAGCCGACTCACCCGGAAAGCCAGTTGCGCAATACGGCGCATTTATACACGAACTGCAAAACCTTCACAATTCAAATCACACAGTCTCAAACCCGATACATTCCTACACCACACAGCACAATTTACATCTGGCTGACGCTCTTATCAGTCTTTCTACCCAGCCTTCAAGAATATTCGCTGCATTACTTTCTATACCCGCGTCATCGTCCACGGGGGTCGCCCATTAATACTGTGACCTGCTACCTTATTCCAACCGCGCCGATGCAGGACTCAAAGTCATTGACTGGATATCATTTGCTAAGCGGCACAAACTCCATGGTGATGGTAGCGTGGGTAAAATAATAATATACACTTTCATCCTTCATTCTTGTTGTTAAAATCAAAATCTTGTTATTCCTATTAAAATAACCGACACAACTGGCCGCTTCCTTGTGAATCCTGTGTTCACCTAAGATTAGTCCATGTATAAGTCCCTCATGGAGAGCCATGCATTTGTCAGTCGATTGGGCTGCTAATAGCAAATTCTGAATTTCAATATTTGAACGAATAAAAAGTTTGAGAAGTCTCCGCCATGTAGCTTTAGAGTCACACGTTGTTTATTCTCACTTAGACCAGCTGCATGTCAACCTTGAAAACGCGGTACGTCGCGATTGAAGTTTATTTTAAGCGTCAGTAGACATAATCCGGGTGGTGAATCCGTATATATATTGACGTATATGTAAGGACAAGGACATTCGATGACACCTGGAGAGTTCTTGCTGCCAACAGAACTGGAGACAACTGTCTACAGCCGCCATGCTTCTGCCATGAAGCCCGCGGACGATTGATTGATTGATTGATTGATTGATTGATTGATTGATTGATTGATTGATTGATTGATTGATTGATTGATTGATTGATTGATTGATTGATTGATTGATTGATTGATTGATTGATTG